AGACAGCATGAGCAGGGGAGGGTCAGAGAGAGAGGGAGTCACAGACTGAAACAGGCTCCAGGCTCTGAGCTGGCAGTCAGCACAGAGCCCGACGTGGGGCCCGAACCCACGAACCGCGAGATCATGACCTAAGCGAAAGTCGGACGCTTAACCGACTAAGCCACTCAGGCGCCCCCCAGGTAAGCCTTTTAAAAGAAGGTGAAGTGTTAGAGATGCTCTCCTGCTGACTCTGACAAAACAAACTGCCCATGCTGTGGAAAAGGCCACATGGCAAGGACCCAGAAGCAACCCCTAAGACCTGAGACTGTCCCTGGACCAAAAAACTAGCAAGGAAATGGGAACCTTGGTCATAGGCCACAAGGAAATCAATTCTGCCAATAACAAATGGGGGAACTCAGAAGTAGATCTTCCCTTCATCAAGCAGATGACAGACACCTTGATTTCAGCCTTGTAAAACCCTAAGCAGAGGACCCAGCTAAAATGTGCCCAACTCCCAACCCCAGGAAACTGTGACACAAGAAGTGTGTTCATTTAAGCTTCTAAGTGTGTAATACAGTGGTTCCCCGATTTATCCAAGATTTCACTTTCTATGGTTGACAGTTGCCTGGAAAGTCACTGGTAGCTTACATCTTTCACCTCACTCGATCTCACTGGCATTTTATCATCTTGTGATATAACAAGGATGAGAACAGTACAATAAGATTTTGAGAAAGAGACTACATCCACATAACTTTTATTACAGTTTATTATAACTGTTCTATTTTTAGTTATTGTTGTTAATCTCTGTGCCTAACTCATGATTTAAACTTTATAATAGGTAAGTGTGTATAGGAAAAGACATAGTTACACAGGATTCAGTACTACCTGTGGTTTCAAGCATCTACTGGGGGTCCTGGAACATATCCCTCACAGACAGGTGGAAACTACTATAATTGGTCATGCAGTAACAAAAAATTAATACACTAAGGGAAAAGCATTACAATTATTTGAAGTAGAAGATGACTTGCTTTTTTTTTTTTTTTTACAAATAGTTTATTGTCAAATTAGTTTCTACATAACACTCAGTGCTCATCCCCAAAGTGCCCTCCTCCATGCCCATCCCCCCCTCCCCCCCACATCCATCAGTCCTCAGTTTTTGTCAGCATTCAAGAGTCTCTCATGGTTTGCCTCTCTCCCTTTCCCCCACCATTTCCGCCCTTCTTCTCCCCCTTGTTCCTCCGTCAAGTTCCTCCTAATCCTCCTATACGTGCAAACATATGATATTTGTCCTTCTCTGCCTGACTTATTTCGCTCAGCATAACACCCTCAAGGTCCATCCATGTTGCTACACATGGCCAGATTTCATAGTTGCAAATGACATATCAGATAAAGGGTTAATATCCAGAATCTATAAGGAACTCACCAAACTACACACCCGAAAAACAAACAACCCAGTGAAGAAATGGGCAGAAGACATGAACAGACACTTCTCCAAAGAGGACATCCAGATGGCCAACAGACACATGAGAAGATGACTTGCTTTAAAAGACATATTCCTGTGCTCTCGGCCTACAGTCACTAAAGCCCAGGAATTAGCAATTCAATTAGCCTACTTGGAGGTTCTCCAAGTTTAAGGACTACTGTTATCAAAAATCTGGAGTCAAACCATATTAAAAGAAAAAACAGGCATATGAAATGACTAGGGGGATGCATGAAAATAGAGTACTTTATCTGTTATATATTTGTCTGTCTATCTGTTTCCTAGGTCCTAGGACAAAGACTGGCACAGAATAGGCACTTAGTATCTATCCTTAGTAGGTAGGATGACTGAATTAAAAGAAAAACCAACTTTAGAATAAAAGAATAGGAGCATTCAACACTCAGTTGGTTGAGTGTCCAACTTCGGCTCAGGTCATGATATCGTGGGTCACGGGTTTGAGACTCACATCAGGTTCGCTGCTGTCAGCACAGAACCGGCTTCGGATCCTCGGTCTCCCTCTTTGCTCCTCCACCGGTTGCACGCACAAGCACTTTCTCTCTCTCTCTCTCAAAATTAAATAAGCATTAAAAAAAAAAAAAAAAAAGAGGGGCACCTGGGGGACTCAGTTGGTTGAGTGACTTCAACCTTACTCAGCCTCAACCTGAGATTTCGGCTCAGGTCATGATCTTGCCAATCCTGAGTTCGAGCCCCACATCAGGCTCTGTGCTGACAGCTCAGAGTCTGGAGCCTGTTTCAGATTCTGTGTCTCCCTCTCTCTCTATGTCTCTCTGCATGTGCGCTCAGTCTCTCTCTCAAAAATAAATAAACGTTTAAAAAAAATAAATAAAAGGACAAACTCACCAAATGATTCAAAGATGCAAGTTCCTGACCTAGTAAGAAAAAACACAAATAAGCTTTAGGTACCATCTATTACTTGTTAAGGAACCTTAGTAAAAATTTGTAGAGTTCCTATATAAAAGAGATGATCCAGCTAAATAGTTCCTCAGAAATAGACACATTTTCTAGCACAATACACCACGAGTATACATTAATATTATTCTAAGAGTGATCACAGTTTGCCTCTAATAAAAACAACCAAGTGTTAGGTATTCAAATAGCATCTCACAGAAAGGTTTTTTTATTTAATACACTAACCTCACAGACTCTTAAAATGTTTGAACTAAAAACACAAATAAAAATTAGGGTTATATTTAATCTAATATCTTTATCAAGGAGGAAACTAAGTCCCAGACAACAGAAATGCTGGTCTCACAGTGAACCAGGGGTGAAGCCAGGGCTATGAATGAATAGGGCCAAGTAGAAAGATGAAATCTGAGAATACTTAATTACAGCTGATGACTGTGACGTGCTTTGTCATTTTTTGAGCTGGGAAAGGGACTCACCTATGAAAAAACTGATATAATCTTTCTTTAGTTTGTCCAGACCAATTTCCAAAAGCATCTTAACTGGAAGAGTGCCGCTGAGAGAAACTGTGTCCATGGTCCCATGATAAGACTGGTGAATAAGCTTACTTAGTAAGCTGTTACTCCCACTATGGAGCTAGAAATCAAAGGTATTTTATAAAACCAAAAATAAAAGTATACACAAATCAATAAACAAAAGAGAAACAAACTGCATGAACTCTGAGCTAAGAACGTACAAGCTTATGTTTTTAGTCTCCTGATACTATAAACTGTGTGAATAAAAATCCATACATTACAAGCGTGTCAGATCCTGCAGGGTCACTCCTATATGATTTGCTGAAGTCCAAAGCAACCATAAAGAGTTTCAACTTGATCACCCCCAGATACAGTTCCACCAAAGAGAAGACAGAGTTGGTCTTCTGAAGCTCTGTAACCAGCAAATCTTTTCTACTAGCTGATGAGGTACTCCTGGGCACCTTTCCTAAACTGAACACCTTCATCTGCACAGAAAACCTGTTGTGGTGGGAAAACTCACTCCCTCAGTGGTCTATTCACGGGTCAGAAGGAGCTCCTTGGCTATAGATTCTGATATCCTAACTAGATCATTTGCAAAATAAGAGCTGTGAACTTACAGATCTAACATATGTTCCAAATGTTAAGCACTTCGCTTTAAAGATAGCTGAAATATTGGCCATTTTCTTACTAATGTCTATTATCTCTAATCTTCATAGCCTTTTGCATCTCCTGTTGTTTAATAGAAAATGATTTCCATGTTGTTTGCACTCACTGCACAGGGCAGGGATAGACTCGCAAACATCTCACACAGAGGCTCGGCTGAGAAAAACCTTATGGCCATGGTTAGAATGCCTACAGCCCCACTGCCCAGTTAGGGGTAGGGCCCACATGCTTTTGCTTTGCAGTCGATCTTTGTTCCCACTTATGGAAGTTTCTAAGTTTTAGAGTTGTGAACTGGCAGATACGTTATTTCAAACAATTCCTATGAAATGAGGAATTTGTTTCTAGTTTTTTTACTTAGCTTTTTCTTGATTGTAAAAGCACGAGTTCATTGTGGAAAATCCATAAAGTACAGAAATGTGTAACGCAGATGGAAAGCCCCATTTGTAACCCTACCACCAGAGGTGACTGCTGTTAACATTTTGATATATTTGTGTCCAGGTTTTTCCCTCCAAAATTTACTTTTTTTAATGCAATAGTGTATAGTCCTTTCTTTTTACTGCAGATAATAAGCACTTCTCCACCCATCATCTGTCAGCATCATTTTTCCAATGATTACATATGCCATTATGTGGCTGTATTATTATTTACTAAGTCCATTAACTGAAAATTTAGATCATTTACAATTTTTTGCTACCACAAATGAGGCTGTGATGACTATTCTAATACATAAAACCTTGATACATATTCCTGTGTAGAGCTCAGGGTGGATCCTAAGGAAAAATCAATGATTCAAAGGGCATGCATGATACATTTGGAGGATCTCAATACATTATTCAAAACTGCTTTACAGAGAATATCCCAATTTGTACTCTCATCAGGAGTATATCAGAATGATCATTCACAGCAACAGCAACGACAATATTAGGATCTCACAAATACTGATCGCACAATTATGAGCTAGGTGCGTTATATGAATTAAATTATTTAACCCTAAAACAACACTATGAGGTAGGTACTCTTCCCCCTCCTACTTTACAGATGAGAACGCTGGGTCACAGAGACATAAAGAAACCTGCCCAAGTTTACACAGCTAAGAAAGCAGCAGGGCTGGATTCAAACTCAGGCAGTCTGTTCCCAAGTCTATGTCTTTACCTTCTTGCTCACCTGCTGAAAAAGGGTTCTAACACACATTACTAAACCTACCCATGGCTGTATATCACCACGTTGTAGACTCTGGATGATCAGTGTGAAACATTTCACCAAGTCTTGATATGAAATCACACCTTGAAAAACAAGTCAGTCCAACATTACTTTCATGATATTTCTGCAGATCAAATATGTCATTAATCTTAAGGATACACAAGTAAGTAGAAGACAAGTATCTGTACTTTATGGATGGGGGAAGGGAAAAGAAAATAAAGGCAAAAAGGAAGATTTAATACATTTCTAAACTAAGAAAGTAAATTCAGTGTCACAAAAGAACACAGTAAAATACTAAAGAATATCTTTTCCTTTTTCTAATAATTATAATTCCACTAAGGTGTAGGTTTTGGTTCATATAAACATAACATTAAAACCACCTACGTCTTATACTCAAGGCAGGAGAAAAATGGACTCTATAAATTGCTTTGTGTTAGTACAATTCTTGAGTACAATGCTCCAATACATTATTAGAAATGAATTTGATAAAATAGGAACCAGACTGCCACACAAGACTAATAGTACACACTGTATTATTTTCAAAGACTTAAAAGTAAACCTAACAAATAACAGGAAACATTTTATTTTACAATCACGATAGACACGTACTACTGCTCATTTTGAACCAGAGCTGCTCAGCGAAATCAAGATCACCCCGCACTGTGAAAAGACACTCGATGGAACGGTCAACTGCAGCACTGTCATGCTTCACTGTCTGAGAAAGAAGCATTAGAGTCAACACGCTTTATTAAAAAGGAAAAGAGGGGCACCTGGGTGGGTCAGTCGGTTAAGCATCCAACTCTTGATTTTGGCTCAGGTCATGATCTCAGGCTTTGTGGGACTGAGGCCCGAGTCAGGCTCTGTGCTGACAGCACGGAGTCTACTTGGAATTCTCTCCATCCCCCCACTCAAAATAAATAAATAAACTTAAACAACAACAACAACAGTTTAAAGCCATTAAGCTTTTAAATCATGCTCTAAGAAAATGTGGATCCACAGATGTGAATGAATTTTCTATAACTTTGTTCACTAATGTAATGAGAAGATACAAATCAACTGACCATGAAAAATTGGACCCCTAAAATGGTTTTAAAAGTGTGATGACCAAAGTAAGCATCAACTTTCCTTCTAAGCAAAAAACTCAATTAAATTACATTTGTCTCCATTTTCCTATTCAGCAAATGACAACCTATTTAATTTCATCTAATGATACCAAGAAAGGCATTACCATCTTATAGCATATTAACACAGTCATTTCTGCTTCTCTGCCATTGATCAACTAATAATACATATTTATTAGTTCTCTTCAAGAGCATTTATTAGTTCTTACGGAAAACAATCACCGGTGCTGACATGAAAGACCAACAAAAAGTACCCTCAACACACTGCCTTTGCTGCACCAGATCCATTTGAACTGTAGGACGTGAAGGGTAACAGTACAACCAAACTGTAAAAGGTACTTCGGTGTACGTTGCCAACTGATAAGGACTGCTTACCTCTGTGTCTTTTTTTGTAGAATCACCAAATCCATCCAGCTTATTTAAGTCTAGAAAGGAGCAAAAGCTTATTAGCTCTAGATTTTGTTTTTCTGCTTTCTAAATTATTTCCATCCTAATCCTATTTTCAAATGGTAAATAAGGACAGCAGAAATATAAGCAGGGATTTTAGTAAATTACTGAATCTCTAAAGGAGGTTACGATAGACATCCAACCAGGTAGGGGTGTGGGGACGTTCTGAGATACAGTGAGAGCCCCTGACACACATTACTGGGCACAGGGTAGGTGCTCAAAGGTTTCTCTTCCATTCTCTTTTCCTAAAATCTCAAATACAGCTGTGATATATAAAATTTAAATTCAATATTAATTCTTAAAATTACTTAGACTTCTACTATTAGTAATTCAGAACAAATCTGTCCCTCTGACCATGACAGACCTCATAGCTTTACATCCCAACCAAAAGAAATACTACGCCTAAAATGACAACTTATTTTTAAATTAGGAAGTATAAATTCTCAACTAAGAAAAATAAACAATATAGAGAGCATGAGTTTGGAAAACAAAGACCATTCAGAAATTCCTGCACGAGATCAACAGCAGACTTGACTTCCAGAGGCTCAGGCCATTCGCTTACACCCGTCCTCAAGCCATCAGCCAAAACCTAGGGGAGAGTAAAAAAAAAAAAAAAAACCCAAAATTTTTTTAGCAAAAAACACAGCTGAATCAGTAGGAATATATTTAACAATATTGGTCATTATAAAATTTTTTGAATGACTAACCACATGCCAGAAACAGTTCTAAGTGTTTTATATGTAGAATGGTATTTAATCCTCACAAAAACCCCATCAGGCAGATACCACCACCAGCCCTTTTCCTGAGGACAAGAGAGGTAAAGTAACTTGCTCAAGGCCACACATTACTGACATTGCCAGGATATACACCTAGCAGTCCTATACCAAAGACAGTGTTCTAACAGTGATGCCATGTGCATAGGTGCTGAAGATTCCAGAGTAATCAGCCTGCCCTGAAGATGCTTTCAATTTTGGTTAAAAAGGACCAGTAGGGCACCCGGGTGGCTCAATTGGTTAAGGTCCAACTTTGGCTCAGGTCATGATCTCAGTCAGTGAGTTTGAGCCCCGTGTTGGGCTCTGTGCTGACAGCTCAGAGCCTGGAGCCTGCCTTGGATTCTACGTCTGCCTCTCTCTCTGCCCCTCCCTCCCTCTCCAAAATAAACATTAAAAAAAGAAAAGGGACCAATAATCTTGATGCAATAATCAGGAAACAACTGAAAATAAATGTAAGTTTATATAAAATAATATAAATGTACATGCCTATACATACATTATCTAAACCAAAAGAAAAGGGGTCAAGATAGGCTGGAATCGCCACAGGAACAATGTGAAACATCAGCTGAACTCAAATGTGGGAATTATGAGCTGTAGAGAAGGGAAGGAGCATGGAAGAAGATGAAGAGGGTGGGGTGGAGTCCAGCTGTGGTGGAGAAAACATGTAGGGAACGGTGGGAAATGAGATCAGAAGGAACAGGAACTAAACAGAAATACAGATCTTAAAACATGAAAAGATTTTTGGGGCGCCTGGCTGGCTCAGTTGGAAGAGCATGTGACCCTTGATCTCAGGGTCTTGAGTTCGAGCCCCACATTGGGTGTAGAGATTGCTTAAAAATAAAATCTTTTTAAAAAGTAAACAGGGGTAACTGGGTGGCTCAGTCGGTTAAGCGTCCGATTTCAGCTCAGGTCATCACGTGGTCTGTGCTGACAGCTCAGAGTTTGGAACCTGCTTCAGATTCTGTGTCTTCCTCTCTCTCTCTGCCCATCCCCTACTCGTGCTCTGGTTCTCAAAAGTAAATAAAATATTTTAAAAAATTTTAAGTAAACAAAAACCTGAAGAGCTTTTTTTATTTCATATGAAAGACAACAGCCATTGTGGATTGTTTGGCAGGAAAATGACACGATCAAGTAGTTAAGAATTAGTGTCAGAAACACCCAAGATGGATTCTAAAGAAAAAGGAAAATTCAATGTTTCTCAATAGCAGTGACATCATCTTCCACCTCCAGGGGGTCTTTGGAAAAATGTGCAGATAATTTTTGGTGTCACAGTGACTGGGGGTACAGGGGCACTTTGAGCATTTAGTCTGGTAGGGGCCAAGGATGTTAGCATCCTTGTGGTCCCAAACCACCAAGAATGGTTCTGCCTAAAACACTAATAGTGTCTCTGTAGAGAAATAACGAATGACCGGTAGAGTGGTCCAGGAGGGAAGTGATAAGGGCCCTAACGAAGATGGGCAGTGAAAAAAAAAAAAAGCTTAAAGGAAGAAAACAGTTTATTAGAGAGGGAGGGAGAGAAGGAGGGAGAGAGGGAAGGAGATGTGGAAAAAATGAAGGAAAAATTCCTACCTAATTACAAAAATACAGGGGATTGAACTTGTAGAGACCATGGGCCATGTGCACATATAAGATTTTGTGACGTTATAAGGGATGTTCTAACAAAGCACGGACTTACATGTCAGACAGACATGTATTTGAATCAGCTCTTCTACAAACCAACTACTAATGTCTCAAGCAAAGTAACTGAACCATCTAGCATATGTCTGGCACACAGTGGCAGCTCCTAGTTGTGGTAGTTAAGCGGTGGTGGTAAAAATAGCACTTACTAAACTAAAATATAAGGTTTCTAGCCTGGGAAATTGAAGGAATGGTAGAACCACAGCCAGAAATGGGGGGTTCTCTGAGGGAGATCTAGTAGGGAGAAGATCTCAGGTTTCCTTTTGGAAATACTGAGTTTGAGGGCAACAGCACTCTACTCAAGTGGGAAGGATGGGGACTGGTATCAGCTTAAAGAAGAGAGTTTGGGGGCACCTGGGTGGTTCAGTCAGTTAAGCATCTGACTTCGGCTCAGGTCATGATCTCATGGCTTGAAGGTTCGAGCCCCATGTCGGGCTCTGTGCTGGCAGCTCAGAGCCTGGAGCCCGCTTTGGATTCTTTTTGTCTCCCTCTTTCACTGCCCCTCCCCTGCTGGTGCTCTTTTTGTCTCTCAAAAATAAATATTTTTTAAAAATTTTAAAAACTTAAAAAAGAGAGTCTGGAGTTCCCTTATAAAGGCATTAGTCAAACCACAAACTCTCTGCCAGCGTGTGGAGAGAAGAGAGAAGGGCAGAGACATGTGGATAGAAGTATGATGGAAGGCCAAGGGTCCTGAGAGAGGAGCTTTCCAGCAACCAAGGTACCAAGTTTTGTACAAAGCGGGAAATAATAATCGGAGGTAAAGGTATTAGAAATGCTTGGTACCATGCTAGATGCTGACGGCACAGAGTACCTGGCACTCAAGTCTAAGAGGGGAGACAGAGAAGTAAACAGACTACTGGATTTGATAAACACCCCGACAAGTGGCGTGTGTGAAGTGCTCCAACAGCACAAAGCACAGGCAGCACACGTCTTTCTGAGGGAGTAGGGAGATCGTCCTAGTGAAGACATCACAGAGAGCTTGCCTGGCACATGGGTGGGAGAAGGGCACACTAGGCAGATCAAGACACACCACAAAGTGACAGAGTGACAGGACCAAGGTACTGTAAACAGGCCAAGGTTGGGGGGGGGGTCCATGGGAGTAGAAGTAGGGTATGAAGATAAGCTAAAACAGAGCCAAAAAGAATATGAAAAGATGCTCAAAGTCAGTAGCCATCAGGGAAATGCAAATCAAAACCATAAGGAGATACCGTTTCATCCCCGCTAGGATGGCTATGATAACAAGATGATGCCAAGCATTGGCAGGGATGTGGAAAAATTGGAACAGACACTGCTGGTAGGAATGTAAAACTGTACAGCCCCTTTGGAAAACAGTTACAGTCTGACAGCTCCTCCAAAGCTTAAACAGAGTTACCACAATGACCCAGCAAAGCTCCTCCAAAGCTTAAACAGAGTTACCACAATGACCCAGCAACTCCATTCAGAAGATCTGAAAACATATGTCCCACAAAACCTGTTGGAGACTGTTCATGGCAACATTAATAGTCAAAATTCGATTAGAAACAATCGAAATGCCCATTAGCTGATGAATGGATTAATAAAATGTGATACATCTATATAATGGAATACTATTTGGCCATGAAAAGGAACAGAGCACTACAAAAAAGTAGATTACTGGCTGCTAGGGCTGGTGGGGGTGGGGGGTGACTGCTAATGGGCACAGGGTTTCTTTTTAGGGAGATAAAAATACTCTAAAATTACATATGGCCATGGTTGTATAACTCTGTAAGTATACCAAAAACCACTGAATCATACACTTAAAACAAGTGAATTTTATGGGGTATAATTTACATCTCAATCAACTTTAAAAAAGAAAAGAAGCAAGCAGGGCACCTTCTTGAGATTTAATTTGTAGAATGGAGTAAAACTCAATGAAACATAAAATTCTTGAAACACACGCTCATTAATCTTTAGCATGAATCAAAAGCTCAGTTACTAACAAGCAGATTACACAGGCATTCGGCATAAACTGGTGATGACCCACCTAAAAGGGAGGAATCCTTTCGTTGTATGAACAGAAACCAAATACTCCAGTAAAAAGGTAGCAGAATGCAGCTATGAACCATCTAACGAATGCTACCTATAACTGCAAGGACAACTACCACATGGTAAAATCAGACTGCCCAAACTGCCGAGTATCTAACGAATACGTAAAAACTAGAACAAATTCTGAACACAAACTAAAGTACAATGATATGAGCAAACCGTTTTATGAAAATATAAAATTTAATCAAGTGACAAATTCTGGAAGGATACTCACAAGGAGAAATTTCACTTCTCTCTGGAGATGATTCAAAGGACCTCTGGGCTCTCCCGATTCCACTTTAATATTCTAAAAAGTTCCCAAAGTCGGTTTTTACTGGAAATCCCATCTTCTCTGCATAAGGGTCACAGTTACTTGCATTTCAAACTCCCCACACATTAAAACAGGTATTTCACAAAGCACTAATGAACAACTTAAGGAGGGTAACACTACACTTAGAACATCACACCCACAGGTGCCATAGATCCTGATACAGTGACCTAAACTCCTGCCACCACCCCTCTCTATCCCGTGATCCCACCTACACGGACCATCTGCTCTCCTCACAGGCCCTCCTGCCCTTTCCCACTAAATGTCCAAACGACAAGTGGGAGAAATGTAAATAAATACATCTTAAGACCCAATGACAAACCTAGCATTCATTTCCATATACCAAAATTAACCACCCCCTAAAAAATATGTTTAGTAGATTCCTAACTAAACCAACAGTGTGCTGTCCTAGCCAGAGGAGAAAAGTATTAAGAACATAATCATCCATAATCCCACCACCCTGGAGAAATAACAGTTAACCCTGTCCAGGCTTCTGTGTACACAGTTTTGGAAAACATAGTCAAAATCCTACTGTATACACAGTTTTGTACATCCTCCTTTTGTCTGCTTAATAAAAAGAACTTCCTATTATTATTAAAGACATTTTAAATCATGATTTTTAAAAAATAATAATATTTCATTAGGGAAATCTATTTTAATCATTTCCCTACAGAGCATTCAGGTTTGTTTTTAATATTTTGGAAACATGGAAATATCTTTGTACATAAATTTTTGCTAGCAATTCTGATTAACTTCTTAAGTCAGATTCCTAAAAATAAAAATATAAACTGAAAAGGCTTAACAGTATAACAATTCTGCAAAATTTTAAGAATAGTAGAGCTAAGTCATTTTGATGATTTCACTTGGGTCCCAACCCAAAGGACTTATTAATCACTAGAAAAATTCTGAAGTCACACAACTGGAGCACTGTGGGCAACTGACAGATGAGGTGGCCTGGAAGAACCTCATGGGCTGCCCTAGTGAGACCTGGGGGCGAGCTGGGCCTCACAGCTGTCCAGTGAGGGCCAGGCTGGGGCTGGCAGCATGCAGCACCAGCCACCAGCAAGTTAAAAGTAAATCCACGTTGAATAAACTCAACACAAAGTAAGGTTTGCTCCTACCAGGGTTGCAGTTGAAGAAAGTGGAGGGGTTTGAAGAATCTCATCCACAGGACTCCAGGAAATATCCAACGTGATTGTCGTCTGTGACGCAGCAAGTGTGTCGTCCAAAGCCGTGGACTTAAAGAGCTCATACTGGGCAAAGCCCTTGGCTGTTACCTGAAAAAAAGCGTATGCAGCCAACCCGACCCACTGTTCACTACGCTTTCACATGGCCAGAGGCCCATTATCAAACTACCTTGGCTCTTTTCCCAGCAGAAGAATAAGCACCACCGTTTTATCCCAAAGGGAAAAATAAGACAATTATTTTTTCAGCACAAAGACTGGCTAAAATGCAAGAAGGCGCCTATTTTTAGTCACTAGCCAATATGAAAATACACACAAACATTTTGATACTACAAAAAAAACAACAACAACAATCTAGTCCTATTAGGTGTGAAAAAACCATTAAGCTAGGGGGGCACATCCATAACAGTTTGAAGAAAATAAATAATGGGAGCAGAAGAGATATACTTACAGTAGACAAGTGATGTCTTTTCTTATGTGAACTTTTTAGGTCTTGAAGATTTACAGAATAATTTTTATCAGCTATAAGACATAAAAGGAAAAATAATTTTAAAGTTTCAATTCAAAATTCTATTGTTAGAGCTAAAGAACTAGGATCCTCAAATTCTAAGGGCACCACAACTTAACACTAGTAATTGTCGATATGAAGTCCTCAGATGAAATTTTGAGAAAGGAAGGAAAGTTGGGTAGAGGGAGGGGTGCATGGATGGCTCAGTCGGTTAAGTATCCAACTCTTGATTTTGGCTAAGGTCACGATCTCATAGTTCTGTTCGCTGAGATTGAGCCCCGAGTCAAGTCGGGCTCTATGATGACAGCAGGGAGCCTGCTTGGGATTCTCTCTCCCGATCTCTCTGCCCGCGCCCCACCTGTGCACACATTCTTCTCCTCTCTAAATAAGTAAATAAACACTTAATTGCGGGGGGGGGGGGGGGGGAAAAGGGGAGCAAAGGCCAGTACTGAAAGCATGCCCCATAGGGTTAATGAAGTTGAAAGAGCAGAAAATGTACAGCTTGTTTTCCAGAGACCTGTGCCTCTCTAACCAGCTGTTGTGTCTTTTCAAACCCCACTAACAAATCTACTAGATGTCTCTCTAGAAACCTGGACTCAGGGTCAATGGAAATGGCTCCAGCCAATGAACAAGGGTCTGCATCCCTTGCCCAAGATAACGAGCCCCAGACCCCATTATCCAGTTTATATGGGCTCTTACAGCATACCCACAGCTTCTTCTCCTGGCATCAGTGACTGAATCATGCCTGTTCTGGGCTTAATCTCCTCTCCAGAGTGAACGTGGGATAGATGGTACATATGTTTGCTCAATGCGCATGCTCCATAATCACAAGCTTCCCCCATCCTTTTCCTCAGTAAGTGTGTGATCTCAACTCCTATTGACTATAAAAAACTTGCTCTAATCTCAGTCAGGAAGGCAGATTTGCGAGTAAACCTTAGCCCTCCAAATGGGCTGCCCTTCTGAGAATGAAACTTTCTCAGCTTCAAACCCAGTGACTCAGGGATTAGGCTTACTGCAGACTGCACACACAAATCTGATTTCAGCGTTCAGTAATAATGCTTCTACCAAAAGTACAATTAAACATCTACTATGAGATTGAAATTATATTGTCATTACATTCATTTTTTTAATGCTCCAATGAAAATATCCAAAAACACATACACATAAATCAAATGAAACCCAAATAAAACTAACAAATGAAGCCATAAACTTCTGTCCAGATTTCTGGAGCTCTGTTTCTGGAATATCTCCTGTATGCCCCAAGTTACACACCAGAGTAGGTCCGTGGTGGTTGACAAGTTCAACTGGGTGTAATTCCCTCTTAACAATTTCAGTTTTCAGTACAAATTACAGCACAATAATGATATCAATAAATACACACACACCTATAAAAGAAAGAAGAGTGAGCGCTCACCTTTACAACTGACTGTGTATAAGACAATTCCTGTAATGCTGTCATTTGTGGTGACAAGTTCCGCTCCCAGCCAACAGGTCCCTTCAGGATCTGAACTGTCACACCTCACCCACAGGGGAGGAAGGGCAGTAACCGGATGATCAATCTTCAAGTGGGTCATATTAGGATTGTGAGCCATAGTGTAAAGTCCAATTAATTGCCTTGAAAACAAGAGTATGAAGAATAAATTATAGAGACTGCAGATCAGTCAACTTTTCTTTTTCAAAGATACTGCGAAGGGTATCTACAATTCTTACACTGATCCAACTTCTGATCACCAACTAAAATTCCACACCCACTGTGTTGTGTGGGGGTTTTCTTCATACCAAGTAATTCTAACACTAGCTGGAAGTGCTACAATTCAACTCAGTTCTGACACTATCTACCCAGAGACAGCATCGGATCCCACAGGTTAAAGGCTCAATCCTATAAGACTGGCCCCAAGCCCTACTTTTAGATGCCAAATGCAAGTCCAGGTTGACACCTATGCTTTTGACTGACCAGCTATGGACCAGCTATTCCAACAACCTCCTCTTTGGGTTCGATTAGTTTGCTAGAGCAGCTCAGAGAACTCAGAAAAACATTTTACTTGCTAGATCACTGATATATTATAAAAGGATAGAACTCAGGAGCAGACAGATGGGAGGTGCACAGAGCAAGGTACGGGGAAAGGGTGTGGAGTGCCCATGCCCTCTCTTGGTGGGCCACACTCCCAAAATTTCTACCTGTTCACCAACCCTGAGGCTCACCACACACTCTCCTTTTGGATTTTTTTATGGAGCCTTCCTCATATAGACATGAACTGATTAATCACCAGCCATTAGTAACTGAACTCAACCTCCAGCTTTTCTCCCCTCCCTGAAGGTAGGGATGGGGCTAAATGTTCTACTAACCATCAAAATCACAGGGTTGGTTCCCCTAGCAACCCCATACCGGTTACCTAGGGGCTTTCCGAAGACCAGATATACTTCTGATTATAAATTCCAATACCCCAATATCCCAAAAACAAAAACCTGGAAATTAAGTGACAAAATACATAAACAATTCACCCAGTGAAGAAGTAGGAGAAGGGCACACCAGGCAGATCGAGACGCACACACCAGAAAGTGACAAGAATGTGACGTGATCATGGCTTCTACAAACGGGGAGTCCAATACTCCCCTCTACAGTAGAGGTTCATAGGAGTGAAGGTAGCCTCCGAGATTAAACAAAAGAAATAGGTAGGGTATGTTAATTATACCTCAATAAAGCTGGGGCAAAAAAGGAGGCAATCAGCACATGAAAAGATGCTTGGGGTCACTGGTCATTGAGCACTTAAGAAAATTGAAGACTGTGAATTAGGTAATAGTACTTTGTTAAACTTCCAGGTTTTGATCATTGTTCTGTGGTTACATAAGAGAATATAATTGTTCTTAGCAAACACGTGGTAAAGTATTTATTTGTTTAAATATTTACTTTGAGAGAAAGAAAGAAAAAATGCCTGCACAACCAGGGGAGGGGCAGAGAGAGACAGAATCCCAAGCAGGCAGTGCACTGTCAGTGTGGAACACAACCAGGGACTCTATCTCACGAACCCATTTGCTCATGATCTGAGCCACAATCAAGAGACAGACGCTTAACTGACTGAGCCATCCAGGCATGCCCACACACATTTTTTAATGAAATATTGATAATGTGCTAGAGACAGTGTTCTTTTACCTCTAAATACTTCACTACGGGGGCACCTGGATGGCTCAGTCGGTTAAGCATCTGCCTCTTGATTTTGGCTCATATCATGAGCTCACAGGTTCGTGAGATGGAGTCCGAGTCCGGCTCTGTGCTGACAGTGCGGGATTCTCTCTCCCTCTCTCTCTGCCTCTCGCCCACTGACGCAGGTACACTCTTGCTCTCTCAAAATAAAAAATGTTTTCTAAAAATGTGTGTGGGTTATAGGAGTACCTTATAAAGGTGGCAGAGTGGGGGGAGAATAGGAGGCAGAATAAGAGTGAAAGACAAAGCGGATGTAGCAAAATGTAAATAACTGGTGAATTGGAATTAAGGGTATAGAGAAGTTCCTGCACTATTTTTTCAACATTTCTTTTTTTTTATTTAAAATTTTTTAAGTGTTTTATTTATTTCTGAGAGAGAGAGAGAGAGAGTGTGTGTGTGTGTGTGTGTGTGTGTGTGTGAGCAGGGGAGGGTCAGAGAGAGAGAGAGAGACGGAGAATCAAAAGCAGGCTCCAAGCTCTGAGCTAGCTGTCAGCACAGAGCCCGATGCGGGGCTCGAACCCACGAACCATGAGATCATGACCTGAGCCGAAGTCAGATGCTTAACTGACTGAGCCACCCAGGCATCCCTCAACATTTCTATAAATTCGAAAGTGTATCAAAATTAAAAGTTACCANCAGGGAGCCTGCTTGGGATTCTCTCTCCCGATCTCTCTGCCCGCGCCCCACCTGTGCACACATTCTTCTCCTCTCTAAATAAGTAAATAAACACTGGGGGGGGGGGGGGGGGGGGAGAAAAGTGGAGCAAAGGCCAGTACTGAAAGCATGCCCCATAGGGTTAATGAAGTTGAAAGAGCAGAAAATGTACAGCTTGTTTTCCAGAGACCTGTGCCTCTCTAACCAGCTGTTGTGTCTTTTCAAACCCCACTAACAAATCTACTAGATGTCTCTCTAGAAACCTGGACTCAGGGTCAATGGAAATGGCTCCAGCCAATGAACAAGGGTCTGCATCCCTTGCCCAAGATAACGAGCCCCAGACCCCATTATCCAGTTTATATGGGCTCTTACAGCATACCCACAGCTTCTTCTCCTGGCATCAGTGACTGAATCATGCCTGTTCTGGGCTTAATCTCCTCTCCAGAGTGAACGTGGGATAGATGGTACATATGTTTGCTCAATGCGCATGCTCCATAATCACAAGCTTCCCCCATCCTTTTCCTCAGTAAGTGTGTGATCTCAACTCCTATTGACTATAAAAAACTTGCTCTAATCTCAGTCAGGAAGGCAGATTTGCGAGTAAACCTTAGCCCTCCAAATGGGCTGCCCTTCTGAGAATGAAACTTTCTCAGCTTCAAACCCAGTGACTCAGGGATTAGGCTTACTGCAGACTGCACACACAAATCTGATTTCAGCGTTCAGTAATAATGCTTCTACCAAAAGTACAATTAAACATCTACTATGAGATTGAAATTATATTGTCATTACATTCATTTTTTTAATGCTCCAATGAAAATATCCAAAAACACATACACATAAATCAAATGAAACCCAAATAAAACTAACAAATGAAGCCATAAACTTCTGTCCAGATTTCTGGAGCTCTGTTTCTGGAATATCTCCTGTATGCCCCAAGTTACACACCAGAGTAGGTCCGTGGTGGTTGACAAGTTCAACTGGGTGTAATTCCCTCTTAACAATTTCAGTTTTCAGTACAAATTACAGCACAATAATGATATCAATAAATACACACACACCTATAAAAGAAAGAAGAGTGAGCGCTCACCTTTACAACTGACTGTGTATAAGACAATTCCTGTAATGCTGTCATTTGTGGTGACAAGTTCCGCTCCCAGCCAACAGGTCCCTTCAGGATCTGAACTGTCACACCTCACCCACAGGGGAGGAAGGGCAGTAACCGGATGATCAATCTTCAAGTGGGTCATATTAGGATTGTGAGCCATAGTGTAAAGTCCAATTAATTGCCTTGAAAACAAGAGTATGAAGAATAAATTATAGAGACTGCAGATCAGTCAACTTTTCTTTTTCAAAGATACTGCGAAGGGTATCTACAATTCTTACACTGATCCAACTTCTGATCACCAACTAAAATTCCACACCCACTGTGTTGTGTGGGGGTTTTCTTCATACCAAGTAATTCTAACACTAGCTGGAAGTGCTACAATTCAACTCAGTTCTGACACTATCTACCCAGAGACAGCATCGGATCCCACAGGTTAAAGGCTCAATCCTATAAGACTGGCCCCAAGCCCTACTTTTAGATGCCAAATGCAAGTCCAGGTTGACACCTATGCTTTTGACTGACCAGCTATGGACCAGCTATTCCAACAACCTCCTCTTTGGGTTCGATTAGTTTGCTAGAGCAGCTCAGAGAACTCAGAAAAACATTTTACTTGCTAGATCACTGATATATTATAAAAGGATAGAACTCAGGAGCAGACAGATGGGAGGTGCACAGAGCAAGGTACGGGGAAAGGGTGTGGAGTGCCCATGCCCTCTCTTGGTGGGCCACACTCCCAAAATTTCTACCTGTTCACCAACCCTGAGGCTCACCACACACTCTCCTTTTGGATTTTTTTATGGAGCCTTCCTCATATAGACATGAACTGATTAATCACCAGCCATTAGTAACTGAACTCAACCTCCAGCTTTTCTCCCCTCCCTGAAGGTAGGGATGGGGCTAAATGTTCTACTAACCATCAAAATCACAGGGTTGGTTCCCCTAGCAACCCCATACCGGTTACCTAGGGGCTTTCCGAAGACCAGATATACTTCTGATTATAAATTCCAATACCCCAATATCCCAAAAACAAAAACCTGGAAATTAAGTGACAAAATACATAAACAATTCACCCAGTGAAGAAGTAGGAGAAGGGCACACCAGGCAGATCGAGACGCACACACCAGAAAGTGACAAGAATGTGACGTGATCATGGCTTCTACAAACGGGGAGTCCAATACTCCCCTCTACAGTAGAGGTTCATAGGAGTGAAGGTAGCCTCCGAGATTAAACAAAAGAAATAGGTAGGGTATGTTAATTATACCTCAATAAAGCTGGGGCAAAAAAGGAGGCAATCAGCACATGAAAAGATGCTTGGGGTCACTGGTCATTGAGCACTTAAGAAAATTGAAGACTGTGAATTAGGTAATAGTACTTTGTTAAACTTCCAGGTTTTGATCATTGTTCTGTGGTTACATAAGAGAATATAATTGTTCTTAGCAAACACGTGGTAAAGTATTTATTTGTTTAAATATTTACTTTGAGAGAAAGAAAGAAAAAAAGCCTGCACAACCAGGGGAGGGGCAGAGAGAGACAGAATCCCAAGCAGGCAGTGCACTGTCAGTGTGGAACACAACCAGGGACTCTATCTCACGAACCCATTTGCTCATGATCTGAGCCACAATCAAGAGACAGACGCTTAACTGACTGAGCCATCCAGGCATGCCCACACACATTTTTTAATGAAATATTGATAATGTGCTAGAGACAGTGTTCTTTTACCTCTAAATACTTCACTACGGGGGCACCTGGATGGCTCAGTCGGTTAAGCATCTGCCTCTTGATTTTGGCTCATATCATGAGCTCACAGGTTCGTGAGATGGAGTCCGAGTCCGGCTCTGTGCTGACAGTGCGGGATTCTCTCTCCCTCTCTCTCTGCCTCTCGCCCACTGACGCAGGTACACTCTTGCTCTCTCAAAATAAAAAATGTTTTCTAAAAATGTGTGTGGGTTATAGGAGTACCTTATAAAGGTGGCAGAGTGGGGGGAGAATAGGAGGCAGAATAAGAGTGAAAGACAAAGCGGATGTAGCAAAATGTAAATAACTGGTGAATTGGAATTAAGGGTATAGAGAAGTTCCTGCACTATTTTTTCAACATTTCTTTTTTTTTATTTAAAATTTTTTAAGTGTTTTATTTATTTCTGAGAGAGAGAGAGAGAGAGTGTGTGTGTGTGTGTGTGTGTGTGTGTGTGAGCAGGGGAGGGTCAGAGAGAGAGAGAGAGACGGAGAATCAAAAGCAGGCTCCAAGCTCTGAGCTAGCTGTCAGCACAGAGCCCGATGCGGGGCTCGAACCCACGAACCATGAGATCATGACCTGAGCCGAAGTCAGATGCTTAACTGACTGAGCCACCCAGGCATCCCTCAACATTTCTATAAATTCGAAAGTGTATCAAAATTAAAAGTTACCAAAAAATGGGGCTTAAAATTTTCAGAGATGAAAATTTATTACCAACAGATGTTCAACAAAGGAATTTCTAAGGGATTGTACTTCAAAAAGGAAACACAGTAATCCCAAAAGATAGGTCCCAATGATAAGCATATGGATAAATCCAAACACTGGATAGAGAAAAACAATACAAATAAATAATGGTTAAGTTGTGGGGGGAGAAGAGAAAAAAAAAAAAGGCCAAACATGGCTTTAAATCCAGAAGCTATAAAGGATTAATTTAACTACATAAAAATGTTAAAAACTTCAACATAGCAAAACAAACAAAAAAAACCATCATGAAAGAGATCACTTTGTGATTACTGTTATTATAGTCCTTACTGTCTAATGCTATAGTTTAAATGACTCTATCCTCCCGAACTCCTTGCTGGCAAGCACTTTGGTCTGGAGGTGAGGGAGGCCAGCCAGGGAGAGCACAGTGGGGAGGCGGGAAGTGAGCAGGGGTTCTAACAGAGGCACTACTGGCATCTTGGCGGGAGGATTCCTCCCTGTGCAGGAGAACCCCGTGCGCTGCAGGACGTTTACCAATCACTGTCCAGGCCAATTGCTCCCCTGAGTCACTGTAACACCCAAAAAGTGTCCCTGCATATTTCCACATGCCCACTGAGTATGGCAGCCCTGGTGCAGGACCACCGGACTAGACAAGGAAGGCTCCTACTCATCAGAAATCTGGATCTTATCATGAAGCAACGAGAACCACTGAAGGATGTTTAAGCAAGGAAGCAACATGATCACGCCTTTGGGATTTATAAAGATCACTCTGGGGGCCCTGGGTGGCTCAGTTGGTTAAGCGTCCAGCTTCGGCTCAGGTCATGATCTCACGGTCTGTGGGTTCAAGCTCCATGGGTTGGAGCCCCATGTCTGACAGCTCAGAGCCTGGAACCTGCTTCGGATTCTGTGTCTCCCTCTCTCTCTGCCCCCTCTCCACTTCCACCCCACAACCCCCTGCTCACACTCTGCCTCTTTCAAAAAAATAAACATAAAAAAAATAAAAGATCCCTCTGGCAGCAGCAAGGAAGACAGAGGGATACCAAATACAAAGAAATCGAGAAGCAACAACGATAAATGATATAGGGGAGTGGAGAAGGGGATGACGACACAGTCTTCTTGTCACGTTTGGGATACCTATGGGATATTCAAGTAAAGCTATCCATGCAGAGTTGGGTATACATGTGTGGGGGGAGAGGGAGGGCAGAGAGGGAGATCTGGACTAGATGCAGACTTTTTTCCCAATGTTCTGTAGGAACACTTTAATTTTTTTTTTTAATGTTTTTTATTTATTTCTAGGAGAGAGAGAGAGAGACAGCGTGAGTAGGGGAGGGTCAGAGAGAGAGGGAGTCACAGACTCCGAAACAGGCTCCAGGCTCTGAGCTGGCAGTCAGCACAGAGCCCGACGCGGGGCTCAAACCCACGAACCGCGAGATCATGACCTAAGCGAAAGTTGGATGCTTAACCGACTAAGCCACCCGGGCGCCCCATCGTAAGAACACTTTAAATCCCCGCGTCCAGCCCTCCTCCTAGCCCGACGCTAAGAAACACTTACCTTGCTCTCCCAACTGGTAAAGCAAGTGGTCCAACAGTCTCCCCAGTAGAGAAATCAGAAATAGCAGTTTCTTCAGACTGTAGTTCTTCAACATGACTTGTTTCTTCCTTCTCTAAAGGCTTTAAAAATATTTTTTTAATTATTTAGCCAGGTAAAAGAACACTCACTGGTCAATTCTTCACTATGCTAGAACACAACATACTGGCTCCTAAACCCTTAAGCACAAATGACTGTGTTAATGCCAAGAAGCACAGCTACAAAGCAATCTGGTACCAACTAATCTTGCCATTAGAAGCATTTCCACTGTCCTATAAAAAGATAATGACGGAAGTTGCTACTGACAGCGGAAGTATCTGATACCATTAGAAAAGGAAGTGCTTGGACATGTATGAAAGGATAAACAAAAGACATAGCTCCCCATGGGGAAACCCAAGGGAGACTCCCAAGTTTTCACTTCCCAAACTCAAAGGTCTACAGCCCTTACTCCTCAAATCTACTCTCTTAGGATTAGTAGCTCTCATCTGTTTTACAGGGTTCTGAATTAAATCTATGTGTTTCTAATATCTACATGTTTAAATAATTAAACAGCTCAGCCTTGCCAATAATGACAATAACCACAAGAGTTAACATTTCCTGAGCATTACAATACACCAGCTACTGTTCTAAGTTTTCTTTTACTTTTCATAAAAACCCTGAAATAGACACTATTAACAACTCTGTTTTTAGATGGGAAAACTGAGGCAGCAAATGGCTAAATACCTCACCTAGAAAAACACAGCAGCGAGTGGCAAAGGCAACCTTTGAATCTAGGCAGTCTGACTTCAAAACTCAGGTTCTTATCCCTGGAGTTCTCTGGGCAGTAAATCCTCTGCCCACTTAACAGGTATCAGACATGGGTATTTCCTCGACTTTGAATTTCTTTTGCCAGATTGCAGACCTCATTCCCTTCCAGGTCTAGCTCTCCAAATAGTTCCTAGAACTGCTAGTACCCAAAACGTTATTTTTTTCTTCTGTTTAATACTCATCTACCTAAAATTAGTGCTTTAAGCACTATTGATCTCTGCAAAGACAATGGCTTTTTAACTGTTCCTCATCCCAAAATGCCAAGGTCCCAGTGAATTCGGGAACCTTCTCCCATCTGCAAGCTGCATCCCCACTAGTATCCTAACAAGATCTCCATATCCCCTTGGCTCATCCTTATCTTTTCCCAGATAACTCACCTTCACCTGACCATCTTCGCTTTTTCAACTTTTGCTTTCTATACATCTTCCCTTCTCTCCATAGCAAAAGTCTAAACTCAACCATTTAATTCAGCTATAATTATTTTCTAAGCATCTGTCTATCACAGGTAAACAGTAATAACACCATTTTATTAACATAACAGACAAATAAGTTGCCCCCCTCCTCAAAAGGGGTTTTTGTATGTATTAAAATAAAAAGCTCCCTGTTCATTGGCCATAATGCCCATCCAGACAGCATGAAGGTCCTAGAACAGAGGTGTTTCTTCTAAAATTACCTCCATTTCTGGGGGCTCCTGGGTGGCTCAGTCAGGTAAGTGTCCAACTCTTGGTTTCAGCTCAGGTCATGATCTCATGGTTTGTGGGTTTGAGCCCCACATCAGGCTCTGTGCTGACAGTGTGGAGTCTGCCAGGGATCCCTCTCTCCCTCTCTCTCTGCCTTTCCCTCACTTCTGTGTTCTCTTTCTCAAAAACTAAATAAACTTAAAAAAAAATTTTTTTTTAAAGTACCTCCACTTTCACCTATTAGAGCCTGTTCCAATCTACTTCAGAAAGCAATGTAGTCAAAGGAATGGGTTCTGATCCCAAAGCAACTGTTTAGTGACAGCATTATCACCACTCAATAAAAAGTCCTATAATTGCTCTGCCAAAACACTTAACCACAATTAAAATACACAGGTTTAAGGTTGGAATTATAAAGTGATGCAAAAAATAAGAAGTTTTCTGTTACATTTAACAAACAAAAATTAAAGTAGAACTTCATGAGTCATACCTACATATGCTGTGCTGTTCAGTACAACAGCCACTAGCCACATGTGGCTATTGAGTACTGGCAACATGGCCAGACCAATGAAGATGTTAAGTGTAAAATACACACAAGGTTTTGAAGATGCAGTATGGAGGGAAAAATCCTTGGGGCGCCTGGGTGGCCCCGTCCATTAAGTGTCCAACTTTGGCTCAGGTCATGATATCACAGTTCATGGGTTCGAGCCCCAAGTGGAGCTCTGTGCTGACAGAGCTCAGAGGCTGAAGCAGGCTTTGGATTCTGTGTCTCTCTCTCTCTGCCTCTCCCCTGCTCATGCTCTTGCTCTCTCTCAAAAATAAACATTAAAAAAACCCTCAAAATATTAAAGATTTTTATCTTAACTAGGCATTGAAATATTATTAAATATACTAGAGTAAATAAAAAGCATTATTAAACTTAATTTCAGACAATTCCACACCTCGGAATTTACCATAAATTAAAAACTTGTGCTCACACAAAAAGCTGTACAAAAATGATTATAGCAGCTCTATCAATGATCACTGAAGACTGAAAATGGCCCAAATGTCCTACAAAGGGTGATTAGGTAAATAAACTAAGATACAGACACGTAATGTACTCAGCAATTCCAAGAAATGAACCACTGATACACTTACAACTTGGATGAATCTCAAAGACATTATACAAAGTGAAAGAAGCCAAACTCAAAAGGTTACAAACTGTAGGATTCCATCCATGACAAAAGACAAAACTACACCAAGGGAAAAGAGATCAGCAGTTGACAGAGGGTGAGGAAAAAGTAGGGTTTTAAAGGGATAGCACAGGAGAGTTGTTTAGGGTGATGGAACTCTTTCGAGCCCTGATTGTGGTAGGGACTACCAGAATCTACCTACGCGTGTGCTAAAATTCACAGAAGTGGACAACAAAAGTAAAAAGTCAGTTTTACTATATATGATAATTAACTTCACGTTTTTTTTAAGTTTCTTTGATAGAACCGGCAGGGAAGGCGCAGAGAGAGAGAGGGACAGAGGATCTGAAGTGGGCTCTGTGCTAGCAGCAGAGAGACTGGCGCAGGCTCCAACCACAAACCATGGGATCATGACCTGAGCCAAAGTCGGACACTTAACCTACTGGGCCACCCAGGCGCCCCTAATTTTCAAAAATCAGGCTACTACAAAATTTTAAGTTACCTATACGATTTTCATTATATTTCTAAATGAGAAATTTAGAAATTCTATTTCTAAAAGAATTAGAATTCGCCCTTACTAATATACTGATTTAAAAAAAAAGGGCACATCTGAAATTACTTCCAATAAACTGAATTTGGCTATTAGTTACCAAACAAGCACAGGGGCTCCTGGCTGGCTCAGCCGGTGGAGTGTGAGTCTCCTGATCTCAGGGCTACAAGTTTGAGCCCCACTTGAATTTTTAATTTTATTAAAAATAATTTTTTACATATATTAAAAATAAATTAAAAAAAAAAAGAATTAAACAAGCACAAAGCCCAAACACTACTTACCAATTTCTCCATGATGAATATTATATCATTTTCATCTAGAATATTTTTCAAAGGGTTTGGTTGGCCTTTGCCGATCAACTGCACTTGAACATCAGCCTGTTCAAAAAGAGGTGAAGCAATGTTATATACACACACAGATATGTTAATACAAATATTTAAACACAGAAAGACCAGTTGCAGACAACTGACTGAAAAAGAAAATCTGAACAAGACATAATGTTCTACAGATAAGACTTCATTTACTCTTTGCCATGTTGTTTCTTCATGTTTAGACAAATCTGGCTCTTATTTATTCACATATACAAATGCTTTAAGGCTCACCTAAAGTGCACCCTGTGTGATAAAGGCTTCTTTTGACTGGGATCACGTGGACATTCTCTTCCTCCCCTCATACTATATTTACCATTATATACCATATAATTAGCACTTTACTAAATATGATCTTTTCTTCTGATTGTACTATGGAATTTAGAACTTTATCAATTTATAGGAACTGCTTATTTTTCCATTCCTATTGCAAACATGTTTGTTACAGAAAAGTCTGAAAATAGCTAACAGATTTTTTAAAACTCACATAATCCTACTAGCTAGGATAATCATCACTGTTATTAGGCTGGTTGGCTTATATCTTGCCAGACTTTTTGCAGACACATAAATAAACCTACGTTAGAAATGTATTGAGTATTTAGATATCTAGATAGGCATTTGCTTAAAAAAATACAGCATGCTAAATCATAAGCTTCTTGCCATGCCATTAAATGCTCTTTGGCTCTGCCATCATATAATTCTATTTTCTTCATCATTTGGACAGTTTTAGTTATTTGCTATAAGAAACAACTAATAATTGACATCCTTGAATTCCTTTCTTAAGATGACTATCTAGAATCACACCGGCATTTTCAAATTGCCTTGCAGATATGCAATGCCCACATAGTCACATTCCTGTCACTTACTGCAACACAGAGTATTTTCACCATTCATTTTTATCATCTCACAGCAAAAATTATTATCTTGCTTGTTACTGTTCTAATTTTCACTTATTTGATTACTAGTGAAGGTGATCAGTCTCTCATATGCTTATTATTGACAAATACCTCTCATTATTTGAATCTGTTTAATTTCTCAGTTTGGATACTGATACCAAGTTCAAAGAACAAAGGATGATATGTTTATTCTAATCTACTAGGTTCTTGAGTTTCAACTACCATTGTGGATTGAATATATCCCCCCAAATGATATGGTGAACTCCTAACCCCTGGTTCCTCTGAATGTGACCTTCTTTAGAAAGAGGGTCTTTGATGGGGCGCCTAGGTGGCTCAGTTGGTTATGTGTCCAACTTTGGCACAGGTCATGACCTCGCGGTTCATGGGTTTGAGCCCTGTGTCAGAAAAAAAAAAAAAAGCGTCTTTGCAAATATAATCAAGTTGAGGATTAACTTGCATTGGGGGGCCCTAAACCCAATGACTGATGTACTTATAAGGAGTGAAAGATTTAGACACTAGACACACAGGGATACTATGTATTAACAGAGGCAGAAATTAGAGTAATGTGTCTACAAGCCAAGAAACTCCAAGGATTGTTGGAAACCACCAGAAACCGGAAGAAGCCAAGAAAGGATCCTTTCCTAGAGCCTTCAGTAGGAGCATGGCCCTCCTAAAATCTCCATTTCAGAGTCCTAGTCTCCAGAACTGCAACAGAACAAATTTGTTTTAAGCAAACCAATCTGTGCTTAGAGCAGCTATAGGAAACTATTATACATATCAAGCAAGAATTCAGATAGGGTGGGATTAATACATTTACCCAAGTATACTTACTTTCTGGATTTGGCTAGTGAAAATACAAAAAGTAAGAAACAACATTATTTTATTTTTCTTTCTGGGATTTCTTGTGTCCTTTGTCTATTATTCTATGATGGTTGTCATTTTTCTTATGGATTTTTATGAGCTTTTTATGTATTTCATATACATGAAATATTAGCCTTTATCTTATACGACAATTTCTCTCCAGCTTATTTGTTTTTAGCATCCAATTAGTTTTAGTTCACTATTATACGGATAAAACTTTATGGGGACTTTACTTATGGAACACTTGGCATATATTAGATGCTTAATAAATCCATAAATATTTATAGCAGCTTTATTTATAACTATCAAAAACTGGAAACAATCCAAGTATCCATCAACTGGTAAGTAGATGACTGTCACACACTCATACAATGAGATGGTATTCGACAATAAAAAGGAATGAACTACTAATACATACAAAACATAGATGAATCTCATATGCATTACATTCACTGATAGAAACCAGACCTAAAAGACTACATAGTGTATAGGCCTTACAGACACTGCCACCCACACCGCCCAGCCATGGTCAACCCCACCGTGTTCTTCAATATCACCATGGACGGCGAGCCCTTGGGCCGCATCTCCTTCGAGCTGTTTACAAAGTTCCAAACACAGCAGAAAACTTTCATGCTCTGAGTACTGAGGAGAAAGGATGTGGTTATAAAGGTTTCTGCTTTCACAGAATCATTCCAGGATCTATGTGCCAGGGTGGTGACCTCACATGCAACAGTGGCCCTGGTGGCAAGTCCATCTATGGGGTTAGAAATCTGATGATGAGAATTTCATCCTGAAACACATAGGTCCTGGTATCTTGTCCATGGCAAATGCCGGACCCAACACAAACGGTTCCCAGTTTTTCATCTGCTCTGCCAAGATGGAATGGTTGAGCGGCAAGCACGTGGTCTTTGGCAAAGTGAAGGAGCGAATGAATATTGTGGAAGCCACAGGGCGCTTTGGGTCCAAGAATGGCAAAACCAGCAAGAAGATCACCATTGCTGACTGTGGACAAATCTAACGAATTTGATTTGTTTTATGTGGACTACCAGAACATTCCTTCCTTAGACCAGGAGAGGACCCCTTCACCCCAAACTGCTCGAAATCTCCTACAATCTTTGTGCACTCACTGCAGTTCATAGTCTCCATGTTTTCCTTACTCCCCTCCAAGTCTAGCTGGATTGCAGAGTGAACTTTATGGTAATGAAATAAAAGCTAAACAACAAAAACAAAAAAGACTACATAGTGTATGATTTTATTTATGTGACATCCGGGAAAAGGCTAGAGACAAAGACATGGGATTTTTGGAGGTGACAGAAATATTCTAGATCTTGATTATGGGGGTGGCCAGATGACTGAATCCATTTGTACAAACTCATAGAACTGTACTCTAAGAGGGTAGAATTTAACTTAACTCTAAATTAACTTCAATGAACCCAACTTTTAAAAAGAAGAATGTTAGGATTAATGAGTTGTGTTTAAAGACCAAATAAATTGTTCATACCTCATAGATAAATGGGTCTTTATGGATTCCTTTCTTTTCTTCATCAAACTCCCTGAAATGCAGAAATACGTGAGAAAAACAGAGCTAAATATTCTGATATTTAAACTCAGAAGTTAGTCATCACTTTATCTCTGCATGACACCAGTGAGAAAAGGTAAATGCAAACCAGCCTTAAGGCATGGTTGGGAAGAGGGACAAAAGCACAAAGTATATGTTAGGAATAGAAAAAAGAAATGTGGTAGAGATTAATAGACTACTGCCCACAACTCCTTCTCAGAGGCAGCAGGAAATCAGTTACCCAGCTTTACTCTCTTATCTTCTGAAACACATTATCAGTTACTATTAAAAATGTAATTTACAGCATGACTTGGGAAGTAAAAATCACTGGATTCTGATCTGCCACTGAATCAATGAGTAACCACAGAATAATTATTTAAGGTTCCCAGCCCTAGATTTCTAAGGCTAAAATGGAAACAGCTATTCTCCCTCCCTTTATGAGCTGTCACTAAAAACTTAGTAAATTTGATGTTGAACAATTTTCTTTTAAAAACGTAAACAGAAAACTCTCAGATATCATTTAATAATTATCGTTTCATTCAGGAAAGTTTTAAATTAGCCATCCCAAATCATGTAAACCATAAACCATTAAATATACCAAAATGTAAATCAGTCTGATCTACACTGTGAAAGAGAACAGATCTTTAGAGCCCTAAAGGAACACAGTGGAATTGTTTCAGGATAGCATTTATTATTTGATCTACTCTTACTGAAATAAAAACAGGAGAGTTAGCCCTGGAATTATTGGCTTTTGCCATTTTGGACAAGATTCTGATTTATTCTTAAAGATATTTGTCTTTTATGTATAACTGAGAGATGTTATTTGATTATTCAACAATCATGTATATCATAGGCAGGCACTCTTCGTAGATTTCCAGGATATAGAAGAAAAACATAGTCCCTGGTTCATACTCTTGACTGAAGTCAAAAGAATAAACCAACAGTTACAATACAGGGTGGTAAGTGATCCGACAGAGGTGAGTGCAGGGTGCTGCAGTAACACAATGGAAGATATTTTGCTATAACACTAGAAGTTTATCCTGAAACCCCAGAGGAACTTACTAAAAGCTTTTAAATGAGAACACCTTTCTGACCATGAGATGAAGGATATAAACTTGGAGGCCAGGAAAATAGCTGCGAATAAGAAGTGATGATGGACTGAACAAAAGCAATAGAGATGGAGGGCCAGGTGCACCAGGTGACTGACTAGACAGAATGGGGATATGGAGGGTGGTGGAAAAGAGAAGTGAAAATCTTGGATTTGGAGCTCTTAATTCATAGACAGAATTCAGGAGCAGAAAGTCAGGTTGTAGGGAAAAGATGAATTCAGTTTTGCCAACATGGAGTTTGAAGTTCTCGTGGAAATTTCCAGTACGCAACTGGATACAGAGGCATTGTGAAGGATTCAAGAGAAGTAAACAAGACTTTTGTGCTTACAAGTAGAAACAAAGACTAACATCCATGAAATAATTGGAAACTATAATGGGTCTAAATAAAACAGTATCAATGGGGGACTGGTTAAATAAACATAACACAGGCACAGAATGAAATATTATACAGCAGTTAAAAACTAGATAGATCTATAGGGTGTCAGGGTAAAAGCCATTCGAGACATTATTAGTTTAAAAAAAAAAAAAAGCCAAGTGCTCTTTCTATAATGCTCAAAAAACTGGCAAGCATTAACTACTTCTGTAAGCAGAAATAAAAGGAGTAAAGATAAATAATGAGGGGGTGCTTGGATGGCTCAGTTGGCTGAGTGTCCAACTCTGTTTCAGCTCAAGTAACATCAAGTTCATATCTGAAGGTTGGTGAGATAGAGCCCAGCATCCAGCTCTGCCCTGATGGTGCAGAGCCTGCTGGGGATTCTTTCTCCTCCTCTCTGCCCTTCACTTGCTTTCTCTCGCAAACTAAACTTTTTTTTAAGCCAAATATTTTTTACAAAATAATGAAAAATTATGGCATTTAGAAAATAGGGGGTTAGATTACATCAGTGGTTCCCAAAGTTGTGGTGACAGGCCTACAGCATATTTCACAGGGAATGTGACAGGAAAATTCTTTGGCCCCACCCAGACTTACTAAATCAGAAACCCTGGAGGTGGGGCCGAGCAATGTTTTGACAACCCTCCAGGTGATTTTGATGCAAGTCCAAATTTGAGAACTACTGGATTCGATTTTAAAGTTGGATACAGAACTAGATGGAATCCCCTTTTGTAGTAGCAAGTCACTGTAATAGTCTTAGAGCGCAATCAAATAAAAGTACTTAACAAAAATACACTATTACTTCATTGTAACTGTAACTCATCTAACGAAGCTGAACAGACAATACATTTCACACCAGAAAGGCTTTAAACCGATGAAGGATGTCAACACCTAGTTTTCCAGATTCTGAGAGGTGCCTCTAACATATCATAAATTTTGTGCATTATCACAACGAATAAGAGGCCTCTTGAAAAACTTGTCACCTTCCCCCTCGATTGATAACGTATAGTTGTTTTCGCCTATATAAGACTACAAGCCCCCACAGAGCCAACCCCACACTGGAACAGATAACCAGCCGGCCTTTCTTCAACTCCCAGACCCCAAGAAAGCTGCCCTTAGTCTGTAACACAGGCGCCACTGAGAAGCAATAGGGCGTTTATTCCTTTGCAGGGGCAAGAGGAATGGGGCGGGGTCGACAAGATGCCCAGGTAGAAGTGCTGTCCTCGCTCCCGAGGCAACAGCAAGGGCTACAACTCACTGCAGGAGACGAGAGTAAAATTCCTCAGCGGCTCGGTTTATTCGGCACCACATCACGCCCCAATTTGACTGCAGATCCGCAACCGCCAAACCGAACAGCGCGCCCGGTGCTGACGTCCGGGGTCATGACCCCATCGCCGGGACTACTCTTACACCCCACCCACTCCAGATAGGCCCCGTTTGTCCACCAAGCTAATCTTTTGTTTTAGAGCACGCCGCTGTTTCTGCTTTGCCAATAATTCTCCATCTCTGTAAGAAAAAGTTAAAAGAAGTTGCAGCGACTGAGAGGTTAAGACACTTAGTCTCGCGAGAGTTGCCACGCCTCCTTATGGATTATTCCGCGAAAAGGAGTCCCTTGTTTCTAAGCGCTGTTGTTCGCTTTAAAAGTGAGTAAATACCGTAACTTGATACATGTGAAAAAATACCCTATTTGTTATTTTTATAGAGTGTTAGAGAGATATTTTATGTCTCTGGATTGGTTCTAAGGCGGAGCAGGTTGGCGGACGAGTTGAACGCTACAAATAGAGCGGAAGTGCTAGGCACTTCCTTTTCCTATAGGAGCCGCCGGGTTGAGAGGAGCGTGGCCCTCTCCTCTCCCCGCGATGGTGAGTGGAGGTCTTTCCTGGAGAACTTTTTCTTGCTCTCGGGTCCTGGCAAGAATGGACTAGGGGTTTAGGGCACAGAGTCTGTAGGGGAGAAAGGGAGGACGGAAGAGATGAGGGTCAGAGGCATCATCTGTGGCTCGGGGCTGGATAGTGCGGCTTTACGGCAGCCATTTTAGAGGCAACGTGGGCGTCCCAGCACCGCTGGGCGACACAGGTCGCTCTCAGGTGCGGAAGAACCTTTGGGATTCTCGGTTTTTTTGGATCGTAGACTGCATCAGTTTTACTGAAAATACGGAAACTCTTGGGGCTTTAGACCGAGTCGAGGCCAAAATCAATTTTGAGGCTTGCATTTTTAGATGTTCAGTAAGGAACATTTTCATTTCGCGAGAGATGATGTTAAAGACCCGTATATTCACATTTTTCTGAATTCTCATCTGTGTTCAGCTTAACTTGTGCCTCTACAAGAACTTCTCGGTTTTCTTAAAAATTGTTTGGTGTTCTCTAAACCTTTGTTTAGCCAGCTCATCTTATTATTAATGTCTTACGTCCTGCTTTTGCATAGTATTTGTACTGCATTGTGCAGTGTAGTGTTTTATGGGAAGTTCGGTGTAAAAAAAAAACTATACGTGTGATGCTTGGCAGAAAAATTGAACAAAGTAACACTAAAATATTCGATGGTCGTGTTGTGGACGTGAGGGATGGAAGAGAAGGCACTGGTTGGGCTTTAAAGTGATCAGAGAAACTTGAGAGAAGGTGGTCTGAAGGAGGACTAGCAAGTTGTCTTTAGGATGAAGACTTCTTCTCTGAGGGAGAATGCCTCCGTCCCTGAGTTTAGGTATGGATAGTAGTGTTTGGGAAAGAGTGTGGGAGATGAAATCCACAGATCCTGTAGGCTCTCCTTAGAAATTTAGTCTTACTTTCAGGTGTAAGTCTTTGGAGAAGGTTGAGCAAAAGGAAACATGACCAGTATTTGTACTGCTAAGTTTTGTCATCCGTGTTTGGGATGAAGGGGGCCAAGGACAGAAATTTGAAGTAGAGCTAAGTAGACAAGATTTGCTGACATTTGGGGTGGAAGAGTTTATCAAGAAGGTGGCATTAAATAGTATTTTCAAATCTTACAGTATGCTTTGTATCGGTTTTGCTCTGTAAGGCCTGGTTTGAAAGCTTTATGATCAATTTTGTGGTTGAACTTGAGATTGTAAGTGTCCTTGAAGTTAATAAACATCATGTGTTGGTAATAGCCATTGTTTCAGCTCTGAGTGTTCTTTTCCTCTCCAAACTCTAGTCACCTGTAATTGAGTTTTAATGGTATTGTTGATACATAACTATAGTATTTTCGACGTTGTCAATCTAAACGTCTTTCTCTTCTCCTTTTCCCTAGGCGTGTGCTCGTCCACTGATCTCCGTGTACTCCGAAAAGGGGGAGTCCTCTGGCAAAAACGTCACTCTGCCTGCTGTATTCAAGGCCCCCATTCGACCTGATATTGTGAACTTTGTTCACACCAACTTGCGCAAAAACAACAGACAGCCATATGCTGTCAGTGAATTAGCAGGTATGGATTTTTCGAAGGTTGATGTTTTAAGACCTGCCTAACAGCAGTGATGATATAACACTCCATTGGTCCGTGTTTCTGAACCACATGATTTTCCTGGATGTTCTGATGCTGTTGCTACCATGCATAACAATTCTATATTAATATGGTTAGGTATCTGAAACTTTGATTTGTTCCCAATTTCAGGTCATCAAACCAGTGCTGAGTCATGGGGTACTGGCAGAGCCGTGGCTCGAATTCCCAGAGTTCGAGGTGGTGGGACTCACCGTTCTGGCCAGGGTGCTTTTGGAAATGTATCCTTTGTTTCATGTGAATTGGTCAGCTCTTAACGGAATTTATCGGACTGAAGTTGGTTTATATGTATTGGTTTGAAAACATTTCAAACATACTGACAGTATTCAGGTTAAACGTTGCTTTAGGCAGACGGGCTTGGGTATCAGGAAATTTTGCTTGCAATGATGTCGTAATTTGCGTCTTACTCTGTTCTCAGCGACAGTTGCCTGCTGTCAGTACGCTGGTTCAGAAGGATGACGAAAATTCTTACTGAGCAAGACATAATCTTTTTTTTCCTTTAAATTACAAAAATTTTGAGAAATGAGATTCTTAACCGGGAAAATAGATGTGTCGAGGGGGCCGCATGTTTGCACCAACCAAAACCTGGCGCCGTTGGCACCGCAGAGTGAACACCACACAGAAGCGATATGCCATTTGCTCTGCCCTGGCTGCCTCAGCCTTACCAGCTCTGGTCATGTCTAAAGGTTTGTAGATTTTGTTTTACGGGAATGGTACAAAGTACCCTTTTTTCCTTCCTGAACCATTTCATTCATGTTAATGATCTGTGTCAATTCTGTTCATCCCAGAGTGCCTGACTAGGTTTCCCTCTACTAAGTAATAGTTCTTTTTTTTGGTTTTACATAATAGTTCTGAGTACTTACATCTATAGTAAGTCATCAGTGAGTGCTGTGTAACTGGGAAACTACTTAAAGTACAGGGATTTCATGTACTGGAAAACTTTGCCACCCTGAGTTCATCATGTTCCCTACTCTGTCAGAATGATGAGATTCCACTTAATTGGTCCGTGTTTCTGAAACACATGATATTTGTGGAAGTTCTGATTTGGCACATTGTATGCTACGATGCTTTTGTGGGTTGTGTCAAGTGTTCCTCAATTTTTCAAAAAGTTCAGGGTAACTGTGTATTTGTTAATTGGCTTTGTCAGGTCATCGAATTGAGGAAGTTCCTGAACTTCCTTTGGTGGTTGAAGATAAAGTTGAAGGTTATAAGAAGACCAAGGAGGCTGTTTTGCTTCTTAAGAAACTTAAAGCCTGGAATGATATCAAAAAGGTAGGGTTTTGGTAGTTCTTTGTCAAATTGTAAATTCAAAAGGTGACTTGAACAGTGTAACTTGAGGGGCCATGAGAACAAGAACTCTGTAACTTTACAAAGTGTAGGTTTGAATCTTGACTGCCATTTATGGTTGTGTGTTAATGTTGGGCAAGTCATTGTGGCTCCTTTTCATCATCTTTAGTGTGTAGATGAATTACTACGGTCATATCTTAATCCAAATACTAATCATTCTCGCTTTTTAGGTATATGCCTCTCAGCGAATGAGAGCTGGCAAGGGCAAAATGAGAAACCGTCGTCGTGTCCAGCGCAGGGGACCCTGCATCATCTATAATGAGGACAATGGTATCATCAAGGCCTTCAGAAACATCCCCGGTAATTGTACTGCTTACACATGTTTTGTTTGTCCGTACTATGCAAGTTTACTCAGCTTTTACTATGATGAGATTCCACTGTATGGTCCGTGTTTCTGAAACACATGATTTTGTGGAACTTCTGATTCCGCTGAATGAGTACACCAGTGATGGTTGGGACTGCCTAATTAGTAGCAGTTCTCAGGTGCCTTACGTAGCACAAAAATCTTAAAGATGATTTGTTTTTTTGTGTTGAGATACAGGCTCCCTAATTTCCCTTTCCCTTTAAAAGGAATTACTTTGCTTAATGTAAGCAAACTGAACATTTTGAAACTTGCTCCTGGTGGGCATGTGGGACGTTTCTGCATCTGGACTGAAAGTGCTTTCCGCAAGTTGGATGATCTGTATGGCACTTGGCGTAAGGCTGCCTCCCTCAAGAGTAACTACAAGTGAGTGTTAATGTTCGTGTTTCAAACACAGATGTTTATGCTGCAGATCTTTACATTTGCTATTGGTTTGCATGTTTTGTAAATAAATAATGTTGTGGGCATATGCTCTCATGTACAGATGCAATATGCTGAAATGTTGAGATACTCAGAAGTGGATGCTGTGGTGGAAATTAACTCAGGAGAACTTCGATTGTTAGTGAGAAATAGGAATTGAGCATCTTACGGTCAGCCTTTGTTTTTTCTTCAGCCTTCCCATGCATAAGATGCTTAATACAGACCTTAGCAGAATCTTGAAGAGCCCAGAGATTCAGAGAGCCCTCCGAGCACCACGGTAAACTTGGGATAATTAATCTTAGTCTGACCTCTGCTTGTTGGTTATTTCAAAAACATGTATAATGAGAATAAAGTATTAATATTGTAACGTCTCCTTCTTTACAGCAAGAAGATTCATCGCAGAGTCCTCAAGAAGAATCCACTGAAAAACCTGAGAATCATGTTGAAGCTGAACCCATATGCAAAAACCATGCGCCGGAACACCATTCTTCGCCAGGCCAAGAATGTAAGTGATAATTTGGGTTTTGCTGATATGTTAAGTTTTTAGAAAGCTTTGAGTCTTAGGCTTTTTCTTAACTTGTTGCAGCACAAACTCCGGATGGATAAGGCCGCAGCAGCCTTACAAGCCAAATCAGAGGAGAAAGATGTTCCAGGCAAGAAGCCTGTGGTAGGGAAGAAAGGAAAGAAGGCTGTTGGTGTTAAAAAGCAGAAAAAACCATTGGCAGGAAAAAAGGCTACAGCGACCAAAAAACCAGCAGCTGAGAAGAAGCCTGCAGAGAAGAAACCCACCACGGAAGAAAAGAAAGCTACTGCATGAAAACTCAGATTTAAACAAATTCCATAAAAGTTTTATCATTTTGGACAGCTCATTATGAATAAAGGCCTAATCGAAGTACATGAGAA